ATTTGTTTTATATTTGACTAATTTATATCATAATTATGAAACATTATATAGAAATATAGGTATATCTATAAATAAATATAGAATAACTAAAATGAATAACAATATATTTAGATTAATTATTAAACTAACTGTACTTAGCTTATTGTGTAGAAAATATTTTTTATTAACGATGTTATGATTATCACAAATATTTTTCACGTTTTAATAAAAAGTAAATAATTGTTATATAAAATTAATTGCACAGCTACAATATTTAGGTAATAGATTCATTTGTTATTTTTTATTAACATTAATTGTAGATTTCAGTTTGTTTTTTTAATTTTAGCCATATAAATGACTACTTCTTTTACTACTTGTACAAAGGGGAAAATATTTTTTTACATTTAACTTCATACTCAGAATAATATTAAAGTTATTATTATGATAATATTAATTGATTAATTTCACAAAATGTAACAATAACAGCAATGGTAATAATTATTTTATTTTTTTATGTTGCTTGAATAAAAAAATGTTTTATATTTTAATAATTCGTTATAATTATAATATGATAAATACTAATATATTTTATATACAGTTAACATAATACGTTTTACATTATAATACAATAATACATTTTAATATTTACATAATACATTCTTAGAGTATATTCTTATAAATAACTGCAGCTCTGTAATTGCACAAAAATATAGTATTGTAGTTTTTTATTGAGTAATATTATAATGATATTTAAAACGTTTAAAAAATAAAATAAAAATAATATTTTTTAGAATTACTGTTAATTTTATATATATGTATGTATATATATATATATATATTGAACAATAATAATAATAATAATAATAATAACAATATAATTAGATTAATTATTAAAATAACTGTACTAAAATATTAAATATCATTTTCAGTATATATTAAATAATCAATTGACATAATCCGTTTCACATCACAATAAAATTATATTTGTATATTTTATTAATAGCTATATAAATAACAAGTTCTGTGGTCTTATACAAAGAAGAAAAACATATGTTATACTCAGAATACTGTTATTTAAACATAATAATACAAAAAGTTATTATTATGAGAATATCAATTTATCAGTTTCACAAAATGTAGTAGTAATAAAAACAATGATAATTATTATTATTTTTTTAATTTTACCTTTGTATAACAATTATAATTCTAAAAATTATTAAATATCATTTTAGTATATATTAAATAATCCATTTACATAATATGTTTCACATTATAATACAATTATACATTTAATAATTACATAATACATTAATTTGTTATTTTTATTAACATTATTAGTATATTTGTTTTATTAATTAATTAATAGCTATAAAAATAATTAATTTTCTTGTTGTATACAATAGATAAAAGCATATTAATGCTCAGATTATTATTAAAGTTTTTATTATAATAATATAAATTGATCAATTTAGCAAAATATAATAATAATAATAATAGTAATCATAATAAATATTAAATTTTATCATTGCATAACAATGTTTTATATTTTAATAATTTGTAGCACAATTCTAAAAAATATTAAATATCATGTATATATTAAATATACTGAAACATAACACATTTTACATTATAATAGAATAATACATACAATATTTACATAATACATTAATTATTTATTATCATTGATAGGAATATATTCTTATAATTAACTTCAGCTCTGTAAAATACAAGAGTAAAAATTAGAATAATATTATGTTGTTATTATTATAATATATAGTTATATATATATATAAAAATAAATTAGACGTTATTTAGACTCAGTGCAACTTAATTTTGCACCCATGATGCAGTTTTGTCAATGTACACAAGAGGGAGTCCAAGTGCACACTATACAAGACCACACTACAAAGATCTATTATTTTTACAACACAATCGACAGTTTATTCTTTTTTAAATGTGCCACTCATAATTAACTTGACTCAATTGAATCTTAAATTCCTCTTTTAATTATTAAACAACTAAGATAGAAATCAACAACCATAAAAAGCATTCAAGTTCAAATGATCCTTTTATAAGCTGTATCATCATCTTGTATGATGCAAAGCTATGCAAATACTTGCCAAGACTTTTATTTGTCTACTCGTTCAATGCTCTGAATGCAGTTTAGTGTTGAATCTAAATGGAAGTTACATGAAAGACTTCCAGCGGTTCAGTGTTTCTCGAAGGGCAGAGCCGAGGAGCTGAAGCAAATCTTGACCATATAAAGCACTAAGCTAAATATATATCAGCCTGCCTGCTCACTCTCTTATGTCTTGGAATGCACGTCTTATAATTTAAATCATGAATGGTGTAGTTATGTTCACATACCTTTACTAATACTCCATCTTTGATCTGAGGTATGTGGATTGTGTTTACATTACTATGCCATATAGGACTGTTTAACCTGGTGTTACTGATCACGAGTGATGCGCGTGAGTAAAAAACACGTTGTGTGACACCATTTTGGTTTTACTTTTCTTATGGAATGACGTATGATGATGAATATGGAGGCTCGTTTCCTGTCCCACGGTTCTCGTTTCCTGTCTCACGGTTCTACCTTTCTTTAAATCTCAAAATTTGTGCTTTTTTTAGAATTGCGAAATTAGCCTACATATATAGCCATCGTTAGCTAACATATCGAGTTAACATATCGCAACTTTGCCGTTTTTCTTAGAATTGTATGTCACATTTTCGCCTTATAAATTCATAATTCTGAGCAAACATTGTGTAACTTTCACTTTTTAAAATCAGAATAGCTATAAATGCGTAATTCTGAGCTCAACGTTCACAATTTTGACGCTGTTTCTCGGAAGTCTGATTACGTTTCAATTTTGACTTTTTTCTCAGTTTCTCTTTTTTTCAACTCTAATTTTGTCTTAGATTGCAAAATAAATTACGTGTAAACGACAAACTACTTATAAATAATAAATTACAACTTGTTTATCACAATTTCAAGGTATCAATGCGAAATTCCTAGCCTAATTCCATTTTGCAGTATTGATGTTTATTTCCTCAGAATTTCCAGCCTGATCTCTCGAGGAAATGTAACTATTTTAAATGTTGTCAGTTTAGCGGTTAATTCGTACGAATTGGTACGAGTTCAGTTGTACGAAAAATGTGCGATTTTAAAAAGGAGGTGTGGCACCCAACCCCGCCCCTAAACCCAACAATCAATAGGGGATAAACAAATCATACTAAATTGTATGCGATTTCACACAAATTAGCTACTAAACCAAAAATTACGAATTGCTGTGAGATTGTGTTGGAATTTCGACATTTTATCCCGCAATTTTGACTTAAACTACAATTGTAAACCAACATCTCACAGTTTTTTCCTTTTTTTATTCAGAGGTGTAAATTATCTCATAGTTCAAATTTGAGGCATCTTGCAATTTTAACAAAAAATCCTGATGATGTATTTGACCATTTCAAATGATACTCTTAGTTTCTGTGAGCTAGCATCTTGTAATTTTGACTTTTTATCCGAATTGCAACTTGTATCTCAAAATTATGACGAATAAAACTCGCAATTACAAGCTAACATCTCAAAATTCTCACCTTTTCTCAGAGTTGCAACTTTGTTTCTACTGTATCACACTTGTACTTTATTTTGCAACTTTGTATCTTTGTATAAACTCAGAATTTAGATTTGTTGTCAATCTTCGAGGAAACTAAACTGTTTTGCGTTTTGTCAGTTTAGTCGCTAATTCGTCATATTCGTACAGTTCAGCTGTATGAAAATGTACAAATTTTAAAAGGAGGAGTGGCACCCAAACCAAACCATCATTGGTGGATTAGCAAATAATACTAAATATTTTGAGATCGTAGGGTTTCAAAGGAATTAGCCACTAAATCAAAAAGTTAGGAATTGCAGGGAGATTGTGTATTTTATAAAGATTGAATGGAGATTGAATATTTCAACATTTTATTTAGCCATTTTGACTTAAGCTAACAATTGTGAACCAACATCTCACAGTTTTTACTTTTATTTTATTCAGAGCTGTGATTTATCTCATAGTTCGAATTTCGGACATCTTGCATTTTTACAAGTTTATTGCTACCATATAACGCAGTTTCAAATTAAACTGTGAGCTAGCATCTTGTACTTTTTTTTACTTTTTCTTCGAATTGCAACTTTGTATCTCAAACTTGTGACGTATAAAACCAGCAATTACAAACTTTTTAACAAACTTGCACTTTATATTGCGACTTTGTGTCTGAATTCTGACAGCCTACACCTTGCAATCTTGAGAAAAAGTTAGAAATGTAGGGTGCAAAGTCAGAATTAAAGCCAGTTAACTTGCAGTTATCAGAAATCTAGCCGGAATCTTAAGGTTTGTGTGTGGGAGTAATCAAAAATGAGATTTGTTTGTTGTTGATCGCCTGAAGAAACTATTTTACGTTATGTCAATTTAGTGGCTACCAATTGTACGAATTCGTACAGTTCTGTTGTACAAAAATTTACAAATTTTATATGGAGTGGCACCCAACCTCGCCCCTAAACCAACCATCATTTGGGGATTAGCAAATTGTACTAAATTGTGATTGTGTGATTCCATAGGAATAAGCCACTAAATCAATTGCGTTTTCCCCTTTGCTTTCTCGACATTAATTTCCTCGAGTCTTTCTTAAAGATTCTAACTTTGTTTTTCTCTATTTTGACTTGTGAAGTTTATAACTTTTGTGTAAAAATCCCACATTTCTGAGAGGAAAGTTAGACTTGTAAAAAAATTAATAAATTAAATTACAGTCGCCTTTCTTGCTTTGTTTTTTTATCCTGTGGCAAAACCAGACTTCAATGGTGTTATATGTTTACTTTTTAGAGTTCTCCAAGCGACTCCACAAGCACAATATCCACAACCATTCTCACATATGATGAATGACAGACACACAAACTAATTTATAAAGTGCCATGCCAGAGGTGTGAGGAAAAGATGCGTGAAGGCGGTGTGAATTTAGTAACCAATTCCTTATATACTCACATCTGTGGCTTTCTTCTCAGCTAACTCCAGCTTCTCCTGAGCATCTTTAAGAGCCTCAGAGTACTTGTCGAGTTCATCCTCAGTGCCCTTCAGTTTCTTCTGCAGTGCGAGCAGATCATCTTCAAGCTGCGCGTGATTGAGCGATTGATTGACAGCAGTGAAGGGCGGGAAACAGAGTGCGCAAGTGGAGTGGCGGGAAAGGGACCGACAGAGAAAAAAAAAGACGGAAAGAAAGAGAAGTTAGGACAGGAATTACACAAGAAAATACCTTGGTGGCGACCTCCTCTGCGGTCAGGAGCTTCTCTTCGACGCTCTGGTACTCCTCGAGCACTTTATCGCGCTCGTCCTCGGTCACGCGCAACCTCTTTTCCAACTGAATTAGTTCGTCTTCTAACTACACATGCATAAATGACAGATTTCATAACAGATGAGGTAAACTTGTGTTATAATATATCACATTAACAAATAATGTTGAACCCTTCATGATGTCCTGTTTGTGGTCTCAAGTGAAACTTAAGTTTGTGGGGATCGTATAACTGAAGTTTAATTTATACCTACTTTACCACAGAGGGTGGAAGAGTCCAAATATCATCCAAAAGTATTTTGGTTTGGAATATTTGAAATAAAACAGGATTTAAAAACTACTGACTGTTTAAAAAAGCAGACTATAAAGCGATTAACGTAAAACTTAAAGGGAATGTTCACCCAAAATAACAGTTCTGTCATTATTTACCCACAATTATTCCAAACTTATTGGAGTTTCTGTCTTATGTTGAATTCAATGGAAGATATTTTGTTGGAGAAAGGTAGCCGAGAACTTTTTTCGAGATTTTTCTGCTATAAAGGTCAATTGTTAGTCTTTTGGGCGAGGCAGTGGCACAGTAGGTAGTGCTGTTGCCTCACAGCAAGAAGGTCGCTGGTTCGAACCTCGGCTCAGTTGGCGTTTCTGTGTGAAGTTTGCATGTTCTCCCTGCCTTCGCGTGGGTTTCCTCCGGGTGCTCCGGTTTCCCCCACAGTCCACAGACATGCGGTACAGGTGAATTGGGTAGGCTAAATTGTCCATACTGTGTGAATGTGTGTGTGGATGTTTCCCAAAAATGGGTTGTGGCTGGAAGGGCATCCGCTGCGTAAAAAACTTGCTGGATAAGTTGGCGGTTCATTCCGCTGTGGCGACCCCGAATTAATAAAGGGACTCAGCCAACAAGAAAAAATGAATGTTAGCCTTTTGTATAGGAAAAGAGTATACTATGGAAGTCAATGTCATTATTTCCTGACATACTTTGAAACAAGTAGAGGATGAGTGCACTGTAAAAATCATACGATCAATTAATCATGACATCATATATTTTGAGTTCAATATAACTTATTAAATTAAGTTAAGCATGAACTAACTTAATTTTATTAGTTATGCAAGCCGTTTTAAGTCAGTCAAACATAACATAAGTTCAATGGACTCGTAAAGTTAATTAAATTGAGCTTAAAAAATTAAAGCAACCTGGATTTTTTTTTACAGTGTAGGCTACATTACAACAGAAATCGTATTTTTGGGTGAACTATCCCTTTAAGGTTAAATCATCTATAGTCACTACATATTTTTAAACATTTTGAATTTTAATTTTACAGAAATATCACTGGAGAACCCACAACAAGAATAAAACATGAGGGTTAGTAAATGTATGGCTATTTTCCTGCACTATTTAAATAAATAAAAAGTAAGTCAGCATGAACATGGCATTACAGTAACAATATTAGGGCATCCTTTTAATGATTATTCGTTATTTTACACTCCTCCTGTTATTATAATCCACTCCGGCGCAGTAATAATCCATTTACCAAGAAGCGCTCGAGACCGGCGCGTGCGCATTAAGGAGAACTTTTTAAAAGTCCTGATAAAAACCGCAGACCTGTTTGCTCCTGTCCTCCGCTGCCTTTTTATCTCCCTCAGCCTGCTCAGCTCTGTCCAAGGCGTTCTCCTTGTCGAGCTTGAGCATCTGCATCTTCTTCTTAATGGCATCCATGGCTGCTTTTGGGGTTGTCGGGCTTTGAACAGATAAATTTCCACAGAGGAGCGACGGTCAGAAGCGCTTGGGACTGAACGCAGAGCCGGAGTGCGAGTGCCCGCTTCTGTGCGCGCTCTCAAATACGCACGTTCACGGGAGGGGTGACTGAATTCCTCTGGACATTCAATACTTTTTTGGAAACAGCCGCAATGGGCTGCTTCTCCAGGCCCCGAGTATTTTTTTATGGATCTGGGTGGCGATTCGCTGCTGCTCGACATTTGACCGTTTATATGCCTATATAAGGGGAGTGATGGGCCAGGCGAGCACACGCGCTCGCAGCGGGATGGAGACGCGTTTCCGACGCGCAGAACCCAAAACTGAGAGCTCGAGACGCAAACATCGGATTGGGGGTTAATTTTATTGACTTGAAGGAAAATGTTATGATAAATTGGAGCATCTTCTTTAAATATATTTAATTTTATCCATTGATGTCTGTATGTTCGTTGGATGCTATAATTGGATTTCTTTTGTTTGCCTATGTAAATATTTTTATATTCATAATTTTTTCTTATAACTTTTATAAATAAATTATACATCTGATGTTACATAACAAAGGTATTTTTCTTTTTAGATAATTTGAATATCAACGATTTTAAATAGGCTTAAATTTTTCAGTTAAATACTTTGTTATATGTATTAAAATAATTAGGTATTTGTATTTATTTTATTATTTTTTATTCATTGCAATATTTAAAAAATAATAATTAGTAAAAATAATTAATAATATATTACCTGGTACATATTACATCCAGAGAAAATAAGTTAAAATTAGACACAATTTTATTCATTAATCTTTTTAAATTATTTTTAATTAAACAGCAGCGTCTTAGAACTGTATATATATCAGTCAGAATTATTAGCCCCCCTGAATTATTAGACCGCTTGTTTATTTTTTCCCCCAATTTTTGTTTAACGGAGAGCAGATTTTCTTAACACATTTCTAATCATAATAGTTTTAATAACTCATTTCTAATAACTGATTTACTTTATCTTTGCCATGATGAGAGTAAATAATATTTGACTAGATATTTTTCAAGACACTTCTATACAGCTTAAAGTGACATTTAAAGGCTTAACTAGGTTAACTATAGGCAGGTTAGGGTAATTAGGCGAGTTATTGTATAACGATGGTTTGTTCTGTCGACTATCTAAAAAAAAATTGCTTAAAGGGGCTAATAATTTTGTCCTTAAAATGGTGTTTAAAAATTCAAAACTACTTTAATTCTATCCGAAATAAAACAAATAAGACTTTTTCCAGAAGAAAAAATATTATCAGACATATTGTGAAAATTTCATTGCTCTGTTAAACATCATTTGGAAAATATTTTAAAAAGGAGAAAAAATTTTAAAGGGGGCTAATAATTCTGACTTCAACTGTATATATATATAATAAGCCTATTCTGCTCATTTAATCAAAATACAGTACAAATGGTAAAATTGTGAAATTTTATTGCACTATTAACAAAATGTTCAAAAGTAGTTTACAATTTATTTATTAATTTACTCTAGTGATTTTTTCAAAGATTTCTTCAGCCATACGAACATTCAGAAATCACTCTAATATGAATTATTATTATTATTATTAATGGTA